TGAAGATTCTAAACTAACACGAGTCTCATATGTGTCCAGTTTAAGGGTATTACACAAAAACACACCATAATAACATTAATCAAATATGTACTTTATTCATTTACATTAAATGTTATAATGCACGTCATTCTAATTGGAGCTAAGGGCATACATTGTCTAACATTAATTGTATTCATTATCAACTGGTTTTTCACCATACTGAGGATCTAGAGTGTATGTAAATTACAATTATTATTATTATTTTTTCTGATGAATGCTTTTCCTTTGTCTGTTTTTCAAAAAAAAGTTGACGCGTCTGAGAGTGGCCACTTCATGCAAACAAAAAAAAAGGATAGGTCCATGTCCAGTCTACCCCTCAGAAGTGTATAATGGCCTTTTTATATGCTTAAAGATTTTTGCATGTCTTCTACCATTTTTTTTGAGGAAAGTCCTAAGTGTAGCATTTTTTCATTAAACAAAAAGCCTAGTACAACTATGAGCTATACACGGGGAATATACAAAAACTGCTATACAAGACTAAAGCACTATACTTGGCTGTTTTTAAAAGGATTTTTTGCATGTCTTCTACCAATTTAGGTAGGGTATAGACGGCTTTATTTTCTAAGGAGCAAAGGTTTATATGCTGATAAAAAAAAAAGGAAAACAAGGAGTAAAGGTTTGTATGTAATAAAAAAGTATGGGGGTATAGAATATTAACCGTCTCAGCTTGTTGTGAATAAAAAGTAAAAAGAAAAAGAACAAGGAGAAAATGTCTGACATGTAGAATTTCGGCTAGAAACTATTATGTACATTAAGTGCGTTTTTTTATAGTTTTTGTAATTAGAAATTTCTGTAGATTGTCCTCTTCTTCGCTTGGGGTTTTGAATTGCATATCACTTAAACCTTACATAAGCATATCATGCATGTCTCATACTCGTAGACTCAGACATCAATCATGGTCTTTATTTTGGCATTCTAAAATCGGTCATGTTCAACATGACATGACTACGCCATTTTTGCTTGACAGGGAGGGTTTCTGTTACGAAAATAAATTGCTTACTGGACATGGAGTTGACATATTGGAAGATTTGATGATTACTTTAGCAGATGGAGTCATAGGCATGTATTTAGAGCTTATTTCCGTTGACAGTAACATGTCTAGTGAAATTAATAGCTTGGATTTGATTTTATGTCGTTTGTCAACCCGAGCACTTCAACGATTACGTAATGAGGTTAGCTTCTTCCTTTGTCCTGCTTCTTAAGCCAGTAATTAAACTATTCACTTCTCTGTTCCTGTCTATTATTTACATTTTTTTTTTACAAGTAACAATGTCCAAAGGGATTTTTATTAAGAGTAAGGGAGATAAACCCCTGTTGTTACCAAGTCTAACATCAGGGAAGGTGTAAAATCATTGTCAAAATATAAAAGAGAATAATCAGAAGCTTGCTCTGAAGGCAGAGCCTTTGGCATTGCATTATTGCTTACCTTGAATTTATTGGCAACAGGTGGCACTGAACCAGTGGCTGCATCAAAACATGGAATCAGTTGTTTCAATGTATGAAGATCGCTTTGACTTGTATATACTTTGTGTCCAACCAACGGTGGAACCAAAGAAGAGCGAGACAAATAAATTTTGTTGGTGGAAGAAGCTTATGCTTTGGAAGTCTGAACCAACATTATCGCCACTTTGTTATGTTGTGATTGGCCAGTTATCCATGCCTGTGAAAAGGACCATGGAACTAAGGGCTTTGACTGGGTGGTACACAATCCTTCCCTGTCCAATGCATACATTCCACACATACACACACACAAAGACATCATGCACCAACACAAACAGTATATGATTTTCTTTTCAAATTTTGGATAAACTGGTTATTGCATCCATTATTTTCTTAGTCATCTAGATCCAAAATGTTAGGGAACTAGGGGCCCGAATTTCAGTTCTCAGCTTCTCTAGATCAAATGATTAATTCTTCTATATATCTTGGTAGTGTTTACATGCACAAATACATGCTTCCTTTTTTGTTTTATTTTTTTTTGGGGTGGGGGGTGGAAGGGGACCTGAATGCTGGTTTATTGTTTTATTCCTAACAGTTAGAAACTTGACCTAGTGAGGCTGGCTATTTTTACTTGCAGGAGGTACTATTTCAGCCTATTTCTTGAGTTCTCTGATATTGCGATGCCCTTGGTTAGAGCCGTTATTGCGAAGATTAGCAATGCAATCTCCTTCTTTCTCGTATGCTTGATTGGAAGGTCCTTAGGACTTATTTACACTGGAATAAGACAATCACTTGGGTGGAGATGAGATATAATGTCCTGGTTCATTGGATTTTCTTATATATTTTCATTCTATCTTTTTTTTTGGGTACTTCCTTTTTTGCATTGATCAATTTAAAGAACATGGCATGTAATGTTGTCATGACGAGTTTTCATCTAAAATTTGATTTTTCATTGTATTTTCTGAGTCGTATTATTTATTTATTTATTTTTTTTGCATTGCTATTGCATATTTGCCTTGCTTTTGCTACTTTTTTCCTGGGTCAAGTTTATGGTAGTCATTCTGTTTAGTCATATACGTGGTGTTGTATCTAGTTTAGCCATGTTGGACAACAGAGCTATACATACTTATATATGTTCATTGCGACTAAATGGACAATGTTGATTTAAACTGCCACTTGGGCACATCAGCACCCGGAAGATTCGCATGTAGAGCCTGAAAGTTATGGGTTCGAATATGATGTCAGAATGATATGATATTGGAAAAGCTTACAGCCAATCAACTGGTATCATAATAGAGGTGACCAATCAGGTGGTATTAATCAAGATTCAGGGGGGGGGGTGCTTTGATTGGTCAAAGCTTTTCTGGTACCCGGTATCATAGATTTTCCCAAAATTAAAAGTGCACAAATCTATTGCCTCTTCATCTTGGGTCATGTTTTTTGACATACCTGGTGATGTTGCACTTCATCATAAATAGCTTCCAATATATTTTCAGCATTCAAGAAGCCTAGTACTTTCCATATGCCTTTTGGAATGGAGATCTACGTTGGAAGACTATGAATTCGCGGATCCATTGGCAGCATAACTAGAAAAAAAGAAAAGAGCTTGGTGGTTGTGTCAGTTTAAATCCTCATCTTGGCCTCCTGTCTTACGAAGAGGTAATGGGCTCTTCTATTTGAAAAAGTTTGTAATATCACCTTTTTTAGTAGTTAGTAGTGGAACTGTGAAGAATAATTAAAAAGTTGGACAAAGTTTCACTTGATAATAAAATATGTTTACATACGGATCAGTTAACAGGGTCATGTCGCATGTGGCCTTCGGTGGACATTATGATAGGTTTATTAATATAATCTTTTTTCAATCGAGAACTTGTCCTCTGAGTACTAAAACAACCGAACTCTTTTATGTTATTTAATTTGATTTGTCCTGTGTTGTTTTATCTAATAAATTAATAATTTACTGCCAATTATTTGGTGCATGATGACTTTTCTCCTGCAAGCTTCAAATGCCACAAAATATTACAGCTTGAAAATTTTCGAGGGAATGGTTGACATTGTTGAGTTTATTGTAATATGGGCTCAGTTTGGAAGCAGTACAAATACAAATATGTAGAGTGTAAATCCATACAAAATATAAGGTTTTGCACTCTACAATCTGTATACAGCCATATATGGATTTTGTTAACCCTATGAGAATTCTAGAAGAATTATTATTTTGTTTTTGTATAATTTTCTTTTAGCTGTCTATGTAATCACATCCTTGATCTTGTATTGATCAATGATGACCCAGACACCAGTACTTGATATGGTTACTCGGCATCCCTCCAAATATTGAGGCACGGGGTCAAATCCATGTAACTACAGGCTCTCCATGGTAAGGTCAGTGAATATCACGTGCATCCTGTTGCTCTGACTTCACCCCTTAATCTCCTGTAATGTGTAATATATAATACCAAAAAAAWTTGTATTGGTCCAATTTTTTAATTTTTATATTTTGCATCCCCATCTTTCTGATACAATGTGAATTTGACAAGGCTAAAGTCATGCCCACTTGAGAAAAAAAGCCAGATGCTTTTGTATGATGCAGGATGTCCATGTCCAAAACTTTCAATGTATCCATACTATGCCCTTCTTCAAAGAGTGCTACTTTATTTTGGGGGCATTATTCTATCTATTAGAGCTAGAATATACTCGCAATAGAGTAGATTTTCTTTTATTTATCTCCACCCCTCCCCTTATGGGACATGTTATTTGTTTGAGAGGCACATCAGTGAGATCAGAAATGATTCAACTACACCTTTATTTATTAAATTGCCTCGTAGTTACACGTGAATCAATATATTTCTCAAGGAAATGGGAACACAAGCATTAGAAAACAATAGGCAAAGAGCTGATAATACTTTTCAAAAGATCAGAAAAGGCAAAAGTACATCTTTTAAGATCCCCCTGATGTGTCCTTGTGCCCTACCATCTTTTGCAATGCTAATTTCCTTTGCTAAGAAAGAAACTTCTTATTATACACTAACCATTTCATGGTTGTCCACACCTTTCTATAAAGCTTAGGCTCCACTTAGAACTGTATACCCTTTTATTTTTGTACCTTCGAAGCATTAATTAAGCTAAGCAAGAGCCCCAAGATGACAAGATGGGGAAGTCAGACAACATAATGAGAGTAGAAGTAGGCCCCATAAATTAGAAGTTGATGTAGATCTATCATTCATGAAAATACCTGAAACCCATGTCAAGGCTGCATTGGTCTTTCCATGTCTGGTGATCATTGCCCTTATTATACTGTATGAGAAAAGCAAGGGATGAGGAAATGACTGATCTGGTTGCATGAATGAAGACCACTACCCAGAATAACCAGTCAGGGTGATGGTGCAGCACAGGTATGTGAGTCTGATATTGAAATTTGGTTGAGCAGGTAGAAAGGTTAAGCCGCTCTTTCTTTTTCTTTCTTGTGTTCATTTGTAGTTTTCACTTTTGAAGTCGGGTCGGGGATTGAATACCTATGTTGTGAGTCTCATGGAACATGCTACTTTTGGTGATCTGGATGTTCCAAATCAAGGTCTATAAAGATTGGATGGTAAATTGGTAATAAACATTCCAATAAGTGAATACTAGGCCGGATGGTCTGACCATCAGAATAGAGAACTGGCAGCCAAAACGATTCTTACTTCTTAGAAATGTTGACTTGATCAAACCTACCTTAAAGTGACTTATAGTATTTATTTGTTTTCACTTGTTTTGATATCAAAAAATTTTAATATGACTATTTGTTGTTTGTTTTTTATTTTTTATTTCTATTTGGGTGAATCAAATGGTTGAACCGGATGATTGGACCGTTTGACCCAGAACCCAGTGATCAGAACAGCTGTGTCCTGGTCCGAGCAGAGCAATATTGCTATGAACATTGGAGGTTTGTATGTAATGTGGTCCTCTCTGTGCATGTGCCATTTTTTCTATGTAGGCCTGTAGCCACAGAGCATGGTACGATAAAAACCATCTTTCACATATCTTTCTCTTTTGCTTTCTTCTTTGAAATTCAAACAGACCAAGCGGCAAGTAGAAAAGGGTTTCCAACAAGTATTATATTTATATATTTTAATCAAGCTTTCATAGGGTTAGCTTAGGGTGCCTACAACTAGAAGTAGAAAGGAAACTAGGCATGAAGAAGGCTTAAATTTATACTATTCGTTTTTATGTCATGTGTATATGTTGCCAATGAGAGGAAACATCTGGGTTATCCACTGCCAACCAACTTTTGGCTAATTTTAGGGCTTCAAAGGGTTCTGTAGCTTTTATGTATTTGATTAACTATACCTCGTAAGTTTCTGTTTCTGCTTTATATATTTAATTATAATTGTTTGACTGTTTCCTAAGGTTGGAAGACTTTATTAGAAGGCAAATCACTGAAAAAGGTGGGATAATTGCTTAAAAACGAGCCTAATTACAATGACCAAATATTCCTCTCTTTCCTGATCCCCTTGAGCATTTATTTTAGAACCCACCCAATTACAGTTTACACAAAGAATGGTACTGATCAGAACGGAGGGCTAGAGTTGGGATTCAGCAGTATTGAGCTGATTAACTGAACCAGATTTAATCAACCAAAAATGATCAGACATGGGTTTGATTTGTACCTTATAACATGTTCATATCTGAACCAAGTGGAGTTCAGTAACATGGTTTTTAAAACCGACCCAGATACCGAATCAGTCAGGGGTCTTGTTATCGGGTCGAATGGTTGGATCAAAACCATTCGAATGATTAATTGCCCGGATCAGCAGTTTTCTGACCAAAATCAATAGTTTTGAGGGAAAATCTGGTTTTGGGGAAAACCGAAATTGGTCACCTGACCGGTTTCCGGTTTTTCTGGTCCAACCGTCCAATCCGGTCTGGTTTTGAAAACCATGATATACATATAAGAAATAACCTAGTAAAAATCAGTTGGTTCATTCATTCATGAATCAAAATCAATTACAAACAGATTCTAATGAGTAAATCAGAAAGAAATATCACTTGTGCAAGGGGAGAGCCCCATCAGTCTGTTGTTCCAACCCGACAACCAATCCATTCCTAGTGAAGTAAGAGATCTAAGTCCAACAATTTCTGTAGTTCTAAACCCACGGTTTCAGTACCATAAGCTGTGTTAATTTACAGCATCCGTAGGCATGCATCAGATCCTGTCCGAGACTGTAATAGGGATAGTGAGTGGGTGGGGTTGGGAAAAGAGAAAAAAAGCTGATGGGTAGGTGATATTATATGCTTTCCTAAGCGATTCGTTAGACCAAAACACCGTTCCTTTAGACCTTTACAGTTCTTGGGCTGCCTGAAAATGGGAAATCGATCTTGTTGCACCAAGAAAAAGAGGCAAAAGATGCATTGAATAGCTGCATCACAGAATTGGAAAGTTTACGTGGACTTGCCATGAACAATTTTATCTTTCCTCAGAAAAAAAAAGGCTTCCTTCATCCATACCCCACAGACAAAGATGCGCAATGCGCACCATGGGATTTTCTTTGAGTCATCATCCACATCTTTGTACGACCTAAAGCGTTGCACTTAAACATAACAGACCTTAACATGTCTCCCGGCTTTCCCCCAATCTCTTTCTTTTATTTCACAAGTCACAAACAGTATTCCAGTGACTGGGAAAGCATCATGTAAAAGGACTAAAATATCCTTTTTGACATGGATAGTGCCCTGTTCTCCATGAGGATGAATCCCTCCTTGGGTCCTTGGAGTTGGGTCTTATTTGGAATTGGCAAGGTGTGAACTTTGAGAAGCATCTTTTGCTGTAAACCTAAAGAGAACACCATTATAACTTCTTTCAAGAATCAGGTTTGAATGCTTAGTTCAATTGTTGACATTTTGCATCCCAACAAGTATGAATTTGTTGTTGGGTAGCCTTTCATAAGACAAAAGGAAAACAACAATATACTAGCTGGTATCCT